AAAATGCGTGTAAAATATTCTGAAATTTTCCTGCCTTTTTCGGCACTGTTGTACTTCGGCACTGTTGAACGCCCCCAATCAAAATCAATTAACTGAAGCAATAATTTGCTACTTTTATAACGAAAGATTGAAATATAAAATTTGTTCCAATTTGTCGACAGTCAGTGACAACTTGAAAATTTTGAATATTTCTGCCGTTTTTATATTCGGCTAATATCAATATTAAGTCCCTGGCAATGTTTGTTTCTGCGGCTATTTGAACCAATTAAAAAGTTTAATGATGAAAAAAACGATGTTTGTTTTGGAAAAAATATAATTGTCTTTTTGGGCGGTGTATCGATTAGCATAAAGCTCGACTACAATAAAAATTTTGACAATAAAAATCGCATCGACTAGCATAAAAATCGAAATACAAAATTCAAATATAGTCAAAACTAAAAACTTTAAACACAATATATGGCCCCCAGATCTTGTTAACTACCCCCCCCCCCCCTATTCAGAAATTCAAATTGGCTGCCAAATTTTCAATAGCTTTAAACAATTTTTAGAAAATATATTTAGTTAAAATTTTTTATGTATTATATGAATTGTGAGTAATACCAATGCGAAATCGAAAAAATGAAAACCCAATTGACATTTTTGAAATGCATGTTTTATATAAAAATGGTTGTCAAAAATGATACATGCATATGGGGGAAATAGTGAACAAGATCCGTCCCCCTATAGAAAAAAAAGTAATCAGATGCGAAGTTTTGGATCTACTTAACAATCTCCTCCCCCCTTTTTGAAAGGGAGAGATTGTTAGATCCGATAAAGTGTGTACCTTGCAACGAATTGGCCTCCTGCAGCAATAAGGCAATAAGGAGGGTGGGGTAACAAGATCCGATCAATTTTTTCACAAATTTCACAATTTGCGCGGCGATCAGTCTTCGGTTCAAGCCAATACTGGTCGTGTTGTAACTGATCACGACAATAGCATTTTAATTAGATTTTTGATTGCTTAATTTCTCAAACTCTCAAACTTTAATTTCTCAGAAATGCTTTTTTCAATTTGAGCGCATTATTATTGTTTTGTATTTCTGAAAATCATTGCTTTTAAATTATGCTAGTCGATACACTTTCATATTTTCACACTATAGTTTCATGCTAGTCGAGCGGTCACCTCTTTTGAACTTCATTATAAAACAAACGTTTATAGGAAAAAGCTGACGGGTTTAGTTGTGTAAAAACTTCGGGTAAATTATAACTGGAGACCCAGTATATATGCCCATTTATAGAATCTGCTCGCATAGTATCAGAACAGAAACGTTTTTTTTTTTGAGCTGAAAACTTTCTTTTCTGAAAAGTGTGACAAATAAAAACTTGGACTTTATTCTGGGTGATTTTTAAAAGTCTAGCTTCACGCAAAAAACAGGATCACGCTAAATAACGCAACTTATGAACCTACAAAACGTTATTGATCCCACAACCTTTAGCTGAGTAAGCATAAATGCTACCTCGAAGTCACACATGCTGAGATCATATGGTCGTGTAGGGTATATAAACTGAAACTCCCATATCAGAGATATTAGAAATAGTTACGCTTTTGATTATTTTGGAGAATAATTTTTAAGTTTTAGCTCTGATTGTCTCTGAATCATTACAGAGAAAAAAATGATACATCTGAAAAATGATATAAACCACTGCTGGAAAAGCAATCAAGGCTGTTTTATTATGTTTTCAATGCTGTTTTATTATTTGGTTCGAGAAAAAAAATTGTCTGAAAAAATATCGGGCTGACTTTGACTATTTCAATTTTGGAAAAATTTTTTCAAAAAAATCTTTACTTGAGTCTACCAATCAACGGAATCGTTTAATTATGAATGAAATCGATAGAAATTTTCTACAAAATTTTATACGACTTCTGTGAAGTTTTATGAAACATTTTTTTAGCCACGTCGTTTGAGTTCGTTTTTGCGCTTAATCGATTCGTTGAAAGCCATAGGTTTTGAGGCTTCATAAAACTTACAATTTCAGATTGTTTTAGTCCGTTTCCTCAAAAAAAATGCCTAGATTGAACCAATTGTGTATTAAGAGGTTAATTAGGCGCAAATAGGTCAAAAACGATAGAGCCAACCCAACGAAAACAAACTCACTCCATTTTTTGAACTTGTAAAATTTATTCTATAAAAAAGTTCCAAATTAGTGTTTTTGCTTCAAAGTAACTAATAAATTGAAGAAAAACTAAACATATTAACAATTAACAATGGATTTTACCGCATATTTTGCCTTAATTTCGACTGTGAAAGCCACAAAATGAATTTTTTGCAAGGTGCTAAAAACAATCATAGCATATTGTAGCTCGCTAAAGCTACATCTAAAATTGAGTCGACTTCGGTTGCAGACTATTACCAAAACAAATTGCTTTTGAAAACTATATTTTAAAATCTGTCAAGAAAAGTGTCACGAGAGATCAAAAAAGAGCTCAAAAAATTGCAAACTAACGGTAGTATGAACTTTTCAAATCATGAAAATCATCACAACTCATCGTTTTTAAGGCCAAAACTGTCTGGCTGCTCATAATCATCCAAGCTTTTCCTGCCATAAAAATTACTCAATTCTATATTTTTGAACTAAAAAAAATCAGCGGTTTTGGCGTTGTCAGCCATATATTTCGGCTTTTTATATAAAAACAAGATACTTAACGAAACTTTGAACTGCTATTTGTAGAATGAATTAAAGTTGGTATATATTTTAAATCAATTGGAAACGATAAATTGTGGGCCTTTTGTCCCTAGCCGATCATTCAAATTCATCCAAGATTCTATGAAAGACGATGCACTTCTTTGAAATATCTCGCAAGATGCTTGCGAGATCTTGCAAAGTAACTCCCTAAAAAAGTATGAAATTTTGTGAGAAAAGAGCAATTGTACACGAGGAGATACCTATAGCATTAACGTAAGAGGTAAAATTGTATCTTTTATTTTCTTAAACAAAACAACTAAAGAGAAAAAGATAAAAATGTAGGCGCATAAAATGTGACCAAAACTTTTAAAATTTTTTATGTAAACGCAACAAAAATTTCCCAAGCCAATTGCCTATTTTTCTCCTGGTTATGACATGAATAACGGAAAATTTAATTCCAAACACTAGAGCTGCAAAACTAGATGAGTTTTTCCGAAAAAAAAATCAAAAAATTAGATGTTTTTTGGAAATCTTCATTTGAAAAGCAAAATTATAACCAGTACATAATAAATTTTTGTTTTCCGAGAGCGGAAAAAAGATCCTATAAAATAGCATTTATGAAAAAATTGATGTTATGCATGAAAATTATTCATACCTAATTTTTTCATCCAATTCTAAATTCCGAACTCTTTGTGACCGTAGTAGAATTGTATCTCCATATTGTTTTTCAGGCCTTCGAAATAAGTTTTGTGTAATTTTTCATAGTAAGTTAAATTGCAAAATCTTGAAAGAATTCATTACGAGGCCAAACTGTGCACTGGATAGGCGCACAATTTTTTGTCTGTATGTTCCTGGATTCCAGAGACAAGTATTTAAACATGCTCCAAAATGTAAGTGGATTCCGCGTACATATACTTGTAACGTAAATTTTGTCGGCACATTTATTTTGTTGCGGATCCCGCAACATGCAAATATAGCTAGTTGTTCTGGATTTCGCAACTGTAAGTGGATTCCGCAAAACGTAAGTGGAATCCACAAATGTAAGCGGATCCGCAAACTGTTAGGAATTCAGAAATTTGTTTATTACTGAACTTGCATGTGCACTTGCGGAATTTAATAGCAAGGACTTAAACATTGTCATTGGAATCCACGAACAAATCTTAAAACATTGGTTAATCAAATCGATAGATGTCACATTTTGTATTTGCAGGCAGTTTTTGGGATCATAGTTTTGGAATCACAGCACTGAATAAGTCAATGGGTTATTCCGGTAATTAGGTTAAATATTTCGATAATTGAGATTAATTATTGGGTTGACATATCGCCGAATTAGGTCAGTAGTCGAGATTTAGTATTTGAGAATCAGTATTTGGGATTTCGTATTTGAGTATTGGTATTTGGGAGTGTGAATTCAAATCATGAAAATAGTTTTTGGGATGAAATGACAGAGTCCTGAAGAGATATCGCCAAATTCGTTCTATATTTGGGATTCAGTATTTGGGATTCAGTATTTGAGATTCAGTATTTGGGAGCGTGAATTCGATTTATGAAGATAGTATTTAGGATGAGATGACAGAGTGAAATCATGAGTTAGCTATTCAAATCTTTCTGAATAGCTAACTCACAATTATTAAACAAAATTAGAGCTCTGAATGTCTTTTTCTCGATGAAATGTATGTTCTAAAAGATATAATTTTAAAGGCTATTACCCATGCATATACGTAAGCGGAATCCGCGAACAAAAAAGTGGATTCTACTTACAATTTTCGGATTCCATTTACAATTTGCGGATTCCACTTACAGTTTGCAGATTCCGCATACAATTGCGGGTTACGCAACAATTCAATTCAACTATACACATATCTTTATTTGTTTGTGGATTCCACAAACACAAACTCTTCTAGATTTCGCAAATACGGTTGCGGATTCCCCAATTTCGCCTATTTTGGAGCAACCTTGAACGGTACAATGTTTCAGGTATTTGTTTGTGGAAACCAAAACAGCAAAGAAGATCACAGAAATGTAGCAATGTTGCGGGTTCTGCGACAAATTCTAGCCTGTTGCTGAATTCGCATACAATGCACATAATTCACAGTTTGGCCTCGTAATGTTTTGCAAGATTCTTGCAAGATAACCTCACACTTGCGAGATTTTGTAAGATAACCTCCATCTTGCAAGATCTTGCAAGATAAACCTCATTTGCAAGAATCTCGCAAGATTTTGCAAGATAACTTTCCTTTATCGACTAGGGCTATGAAATTGAAACCAATAACCTCTTGCCAGAAGTGGTATTTAATGAAAAAACGATTTCAACCAAAAATTGCTTTTTTCATAAAATAAGATTTGCTTCAGGTGCTGGAAATATGTACAAAGCAAAAACGATTAAGCATAGTGCAATCAAACAATAATTTGAACGGCCGAGATTTTTTAGCCAGACGGCCGGAACGATTGTTGCTGTTCAAACTGTCAATTGGATCATTTGTCTTTTTAACTCATTTTGTAATTATGTAATTCCTGATTGAAGCTAGCTCCTTCTCGTTATTGGAAATAATAACATCATGCCCTTTAATACACTGAAACAGTTTAGGGCGCTACACCGATCCAAATTTGAAGTGGCATTTATTTCACAGGCTTTCATCTGATTCATGCAGAGTTGCCAAGTCTTGTTTCGATGCCCGCAGCTGACAGATCCACGGCTGATCTTTACAGACAATCTTCTGCTTGAACCATTCGAAGCTCAACTCCTGCTGAATTGTGCTTATGTGAAACAAGAAGACTTCGGGGGCAAAATTTGGCGGGAAAATGAGCGAATCTAAAAAGGACTGTTTTTCAGATATCAATACAGTAATTTTTTGGGAACCATATTTTGAGTTTCTTTTTCATGAGTTTTAAGAAAAATGATCTACTTAATGAGTGTCGGCATTCAACAAAATTGAATTTTATATATTTTTAAACACTTTTTTAAAGTCTGATTTATAGATATTGCCAAACTTTTGGCAATTTCGGTGACTTTGAGCGCCTTAATCGGTTAAAAAACTTTGCTATTTTGGTTGATTATATCTTTCAGCTTTCAAATCAGTTTAACGCGATGAAATTAGATTTAAAAAGGTTCCGACGTCGAAATGAGCATTCAGTTCAGAAACTAATTAACTTCGTTCATGTTCGGTGAACCAAAAAGATATTGCTCAAAATTTGACATTAGATAAAAAAAAACTTTGAGAAACTGTCCAGGAGACCTGTGTTTCTGCTGACGCCTTTCATTACAAGTTCACCCGTTCCAAAGCCCACTCTGTAGATGATGTTGAGACAAAAGGTATCGTTGAACTTGGCCTGAAATTGAGGAAAAATAAAATGCAGTTTGGTCAGGAACAGAAGCGGCCTTATATTATAAATAATGATTACCCCCCCACACACACACACACACACACACACTTACACACACTTACACACACTTACACACACACACACACACACACACACACACACACACACTAATCAAAATAGGGCGGAAGATAGTTCGCTTGGTTAAAAGTAAATACTGTTTAGCCAATCAGTTTTGAGCATGGTACATGCAGCAGGCAAAGTTGCTCAGCTCTTTTTTGAGAACCGTTGTTGTTATCTTGGTTTAAAAAGACACCTGCATGTTAAAAGCGTATCTGTATAAAATCAAAAAGGTTGTTGATAAGTTGTATTGTAGACAAACTGTTAGGCATCAAATCGAAATCTTACTGCACTCTTTTATTTCAGATCCCATCGGACATTAGAGATCGCAAGGTCATGACAGCAGATCCCCAGACAGAAAGAACAAGTTGATAGCACTTATATAAACTCAAACTGGTTTCTATCTCGAATAATTGATAGCACTTACATAAACTCAAAACTGGTCCCTATCTCATTCGGGCAACCACAAATAAATTTTAGAGCGTAGATATAAAATTTATCAACTCACTGTTACTTTTTCTATTGGATCATGGTACTAGTTAAGTTTTAGTTAACATTGAGTTTTCAGGCACACCTGCCAAACCTCTCTAAAGGTTTCCTTTCTCCTTTTTTTTTCAGTGGTTCTCACTTGTGCTCTATTCGGTGGATCATAACTCCCCCCATTTTGTCAACTCCGCCCCTGTCGTATTGGTTTTCTCGTCGCTGTTTCGCACTCGCCTTTTTTTCGTTTTCCACCGACGGTTCTTGGTGATCTCTCCCTAGCCGTTCCCGACGGTACATCGTTTCCTTCGCTCGCCGTAATTTTCACCGGTACGCTATCTTCGTCGTCCTCACTCTCGTCCGCACTGTACTCCACTATACGTTGTTTCGTCGATCTTCTCGCGTTCTCCATTTCGACCCGATCCTTCTCGGCTCTGCGCTTATACACTGGCCCGGGGTACTATGTACGTTTCTACTCGGTCTCAATTAGGCTTTCTTCGACCGCCGATCTAAAAGAAACACCACTCCTCCTTAGTAACGACCCTTTTGTCATCTGCACCGTATGCTTAGTCAATTTTTCAATTTGTAATGGCAAACGTTTATACCTTCTTGGGTCCTTTGGATCCGTTTTTCCAGTCCTTTGGTAAACGATCGTTGAGCTGGTCTTGTGCTTTTTGAGCCATGTTGGAGCTTTAGGTGATCTTATTTCCTTGGGGTCAACTACTTCCTGAGCCTTGGGATCCGCTACCACCTCGTCATCCAAAAAGATTGGAGTTTTCCTATTTTGTGGAGCGTACACCAAATCGCTTTTCTTCTCCCAATCTAGGGTGAGTTCTACTTCCGGGACATTTCCCGCTTTGTCTAAACAAGATAAATTTTGGTTAACAACATTGTTCCAATTTAAGTTTTTCAATGACGGTTTTTTCGTTAAATTTCGCAGAACCGTATTTGCTTCTCGTCCATGGTAGGCTTCAAAAGGCGTTAATTCAGTTTTAGAGTGGGGCACAAAACGTAACGCGCTGAACGCACGGGATATCAATGCTCCAAACTTGTAATTCTTATTTTCCTGAAGATAAGTTAACACGTAGTTTTTTTCAATGTTTGCTTCATTCAATTTTAAACTCAAAGCTTCCGGGTGTTCAATCTTTTTCCTGATTTTACTGTCTGGTGGCACTATAGAATAGATCCATTTGTCGTTCTGTACAAGTGGGTAGGATAAACCGGGGAACTGGTGTGGAAAAGAGATGATTGTATTTAATTTTTTACAGTTAGTCTGTTTTATATCAAGTTTTTCGGGTGGTATCACTTCATTATCGGAATCCGAACTAACACTGGGAGATTGATTTAAGTGGTTCAGTACAACGTTTAGGTTCACATTTGCAGAATTAGTTGATGTGTTGACGATGGCCGAAGCTGGAGGATCATTTTTTTCGGGCGAATTACTCATGTTTTTATCGTTCAAGTTACTCAAATTATTCAGAGTTAAGGGTTTGCTACTGTAATTTTTTAAAGTAAATGGCTTTTCACTGTAATTTTGTAAGATGGAAGGCTTGCAACTATAATTTTTTAACGTAGGAGGCTTGCTATTGTAATTATTCGAAATGAAAAGATTGCGATTGTAATTCATCAAAAATGAAGGCCTGCAACTGTAATTTAAGCAATGAGAACAACGTCTGAATCTCTTTCTTCGGTATTTGCATATTTCCGCTGGTATGCAAATATCTCGACGCTGATTGGTTAACCGCCGGTTGCATGTAAACACGCCCTCTATTGAGCGTTCGTGCTCATGATGAATATTTGCATATTCATCTTTTCTTTCATTCTCATTGGATGGAACTGATTTCGTTGTGTCGAAACATGACTGTTCGCCCCCCATGACCATCAATTTTGGCTGAATTTTATTCATTTTCTGGCCCCTAGGCTTCGTTTTATCCTTGGGCTTCAATACCGCGTTTATCATTCTTATCTTCGCTACTGTAAAATTTTCACCGTAATGACTTGTCTCGGGTGCCTCTGCGGACAGAAACCGAGACAAATAGTCAGCCATCTCCATTTTCGACCCTTGTCTATGTTCAACTTGTCTATGTTCAACAGCCATCTCCATTTTCGACCCTTGTCTATGTTCAACTTGTCTATGTTCAAAATCGTATGGCACCAGTCGATCATACCATCAAGTTAATCGACTGAAGAACGTTTTATTTCCTTTCGGTGACGAATTCAACAATGTAAGTAGCGCTTTATGATCAGATATGACTGTGAAATACCGGCCGGATATATATTTTCGAAAATGTTCCGCGGCCCACACTACCGCGAGTAATTCTAATTCATTCGTAGAGTATTTTTTTCAGCCGGCTTAAGGTAACGGGATGCAAACGAAATCGGATGCCACCCGGATGCGCAGTACTGTTCTAACACGGCCCCTAAGCCATCGTGACTAGCTTCACAAATAATTCTAGTTTCACGGCGAATGTCGAAATGTCGTAATTTGACAATATTTTCCACAAGCGATTTTAATTGTTGGAACGCATTTTCGCAAACGGGCGTCCGGACAAAATCGTTATTTTGGCTCAGTAGTGGCCTTAAAGGTGCGCTTATTTCCGCGAGTTTGGGTAAAAATTTGTGTAAACTGTGTAGTGAACCCATTAAAGATTTCAACTGTTTTCGAGATTTTGGGGTTTTCAGGTCCTCTATTGCTTGTGTTTTTCTTACTAGAATCGTGATGCCATTTTCCCCAATCCGATATCCGAGCCATTTGCACTCTGTCTTTGCAAACTCATATTTTCGTAATTTTAACGCGACATTGGAGACATCCAGCTTTTTCAATATCTTTTCCACCAACGCAATGTGTTCGATCTTAGTTCCTTTTGAAGCAATTAAAATGTCATCTATGAACGCGTTAGCTTGAGGAAATTCCTTAAGTAAATTATCAATTACTTTTTGGAATTCCGCCAGAATTGACTTAAGCCCGTAAAATCCGTTTTTAAAACGATAAGTTCCCGTGGATTTCACACCGACTAGTGAGAAATTGCGTTGCTCGCTTGTTTTTTGTTCTAAGGCGACTTGTCGTACGCATATGCGAAATCCAATGTTGTAAAATATACATTCCCCGTTTTTTTCTCCGCGATAATCTGACTTACTCCGTCTACTAGTTCGTCAATATTTGGCATTTGGTACTTATTTGGCATTTGGTTCAATTCTCTTGATTCCAGCGCTACTTTTATACTTCCATCTTTTTTACTGTAATCACGATAGGGGAGACGAAATACTTATCTGAGCACTCTTGTAATTTTACGATATGCCCTTCATTTATCAGCCGATGAATTTCTTTATCCATCTTGTCTTGTAGACTGATAGGCACCCTGCGCCCTTTTTGTTGTATAGGCCTCAAATTTTCGAAAAATTCAGCTCTAACTTTCGCGTTCCGGATCTTTCCTGTTCTAGTAAATAAACTTGGGTACAATTTACAGAAGTATGTTTGCAATTCGTCATATTCCTCCTCCTCTTGACTGCTCCCTTCCCCTGTGATTCCCATCATTTTCTTCCGTTGAACTAACTCGAGGCCCAGGGTGCCCATCAGATCGCGCCCCAGGATTGACTGATGATTTCCGGATATTACTGACACTTGTGCTGGTGCTGCCCAGCCGTTTAATGACATCATCACTGCTACCTTCCCCAGTATGTTTGTTTATTCGGTTGTTATTGTAATCCAAAAATTCATCTTTTGAAGGCTGTAGTTGAATATTCGCCTTACCTAACGCTGTTTTTAGGTCCGTTATGCTGAAAATCGTCACTGGGGATCCACTATCTATCCACAACCACATCTTCTTTCCTGACACCTCAACCTGAACTCGGGCCCCAGGGATCTTCAGTTCAGTCTCATTCTTCTTCCTTTTTATTGACATTACCATGTAATCGTCCAATCCTGACGTCATGGATTCATTTTCCTCGCTCCCCTGCTGATTCACCCACGACACTGGATCTTCATTCAAGTCATTTACGTTCTGCGTACTCTGATGATGCTCAGTTTCATCTCTAACTATGCCGACTCGTCCTCGTCCTCTCCATTGGTTAGTACCTCTCCTAATTCCTCGACATGTTCGTTCAAAATTTCCCAATTTTTGGCACGAGTTGCATGTTGCTCCCTTTGCAGGACAACTCGCGATGTGGTCAAGGATAAAATTTGGTGCGTCGCAATTGTAACACCTACGGTTATTGCCGCTTCCCCCACTACTACTTGATCCTTGGGTGTATCCTCCACGTCCCACGCGTCCTCGACCTCGGAAAAATCCTTGTGTATTTCTTATGTTATTTACTGGTTCCTGTTTTATTGAAATTGCCGGAGCTGTTGAAGCTGGTTTTCCCGTATATGATTTGTATGCGCGCTCACCACGTTCATATGATAAGGCGATCCGGTAGACTTCCTCAGGTAACTTTGTTGATCGTAATAATTCTCGTTGGCAATCGGATTCCCGCATATTCATAATGAAAATATCACGAACATTTTCGGCCGCATTTGAAAAATCAAATCTACCTGCTAGGGCGCTTAGTTTCGCTTGGAATTTTTCGAACGTTTCGTTCTGACGTTGTTTTCGTCCGTAGAAAAGTCCCCGTTTATGAGTTACATTCCGCTCACGTTGGAAAACATTTTGCATCTCATCAAGGACCCGTGGGTACCGTACCGTTTTAATATTAACCATCGGTTTTCGTGCTTTGATTATCCGTTGCGCCTCGTCTCCGATACAAATATATAGATTAAACTTTAACTTCTTTTCCGAATCGAGACGGTTTTTACCATTGACCTCCTCAGGCAACGCCGTGATAGCCGCCGCATTTAGAGTACTCGCAAAATAGAAATCATCGGGATCAATGTCGTATTTTGCTATCATCCCCCAGTGAAATTTAATTATCCACTCCTCCCAGTAAACTGGAGGTTCCGGTGTTCGTGTTTCCCAAAATGCTATTATATTTAGTGGATTTCCCCCCCTCTTTTTTTCTCTGCTGGCTGCGCCATGTTAAAGTCGTATCTGTATAAGATCAAAAAGGTTGTTGATAAGTTGTATTGTAGACAAACTGTTAGGCATCAAATCGAAATCTTACTGCACTCTTTTATTTCAGATCCCATCGGACATTAGAGATCGCAAGGTCACGACAGCAGGTCCCCAGACAAAAAGAACAAGTTGATAGCACTTACATAAACTCAAAACTGGTCCCTATCTCACCGTTGTTGTTATCTTGGTTTAAAAAGACACCTGCATGTGTGTAGTATTTTTCGGAGCTTCGAAATAATGTCGCATCCTTATGCAACAATTGCGGATCATTGAAGGTCGAAAATGAGATTATTGATCAACTTCAAGATAATTGTGGATCTTAGTAACTTCCCTGCTCCTCTGTGAACTTTTGCTATTCATGAATAAAAGGGCAAAAATTAGTTTTTTTTCGGCTCCTTTCTAATGAAAACCTACGCATGTAGTTTATGATGCCGTAAAGGCTGCCAATAAAAACCAACTTAGGCGCAAAATTGATGGTTATCGGCAGCAAAATTGCCGCATCAAACACCAAATGTATGATATTTCAAAGGTAAGGATCTGGTGAAAAGTGTGGTCGGTTACCGTAGTCGATCAATAAAGATTATCTTGCAAGACCTCGCAAGATTCTTACCAGACTCCTTATAAGACGATGCAAATTTTAAAAAAAAAATCATTCAACATCTCTCGAATGACAAGGGCATCTTACCGAAATGTAGTTGAGACGTTTACCGAAACTGGAGAAATTGCTCAATGATTTCAGGTATTCTAGGGGTCCGTATCCATACTTTTGTCCTTTCTCACGATATACCCACACTTGAAATTTGCAGCATCGCTCTAGAAACATGAAGAACCAAAGTAAGATCTAGAAAGCCCTCATGTGAACAAAAAGTGTTTGGCGCGAGTCGCAGATGATCAGAGAAAGGGAATCACAGGCTAAGCATACTCAGTTTATGTTATTTCTCCTCTATTCAGACTTGCTCGTTTGTTGAGCGAAGCTCGTAACTTTTATAAAACTATTTCGATCAATCATAATTATAATGTAAGGTTGACGTAGTAACTGTAATTCTTCGATCGAGTATTCCTATTGCCTATTTTCACAATCGTAAAACTGATGTTTGTGTAGCTTGACATCCATAATAGACATACCCGCATTTAAGAAAAAGGAAAACAAATCGATTATAATGGATTTTTGTGGTCTCAAAAGTTGTAAATATAATCGATTCCGATGTTACATTCAGACAACAAAATTGGACTAAAAATGGATTTAAATCCATTTTTTCTCGCCAAAACAAAATGCATTATAATTCATTTCGAATCCATTATAATGGATTTTAGATTAAGTAGGAAATCACATTAAAATTTTTATTTCGCACGTCGTGCAAAATTTTGCAAGAACTTCTGCATTTATCAAGTGAGTTTTGCAGAAACTTTGCAAAACGAGGGTACGGCCTAATCCATTTCTGAACTTAAACTCAAATTGCAAAAAGATTCCGTTAAATTCTCCCCCCCCCCCCCCCTCTAACGTTTGCCCCTTTGCTCCCTTTTTTTTTATTTGCCCCCGGCCTGCTCAGTGCAGGACCAACCATGGGGGAGGGGGAGATGTCATCCATTTCGCCGCAGCCGGTCCCACCTTGAGGAGGCGGATGACACTGGGACCCCTCCAGCCGTGACTGAAGCGGGATTCAAACGCATGACCCTCGTGTTGAGAGACATGTGCCTAACCCACTCGACTAACCCTTCGAACGCATGACCCTCGTGTTGAGAGACATGTGCCTAACCCTTCAATCCCCCTTACGTTTGCCTCTTTGCTCCGCCCCCCCACTTAACCTCCCCCCCCCACTGAACCCCCAACCACCCACCTGAAGCCACCCCCACCAATGAGCCCACCCCCACCGCTGAGCGCCTCCCCCACCTGAAGCACCCGGGACATGGAGTTTGTTGTAAGCCAACTACAACTTTACCCCCCCCCCCCCCCCCCCCAAAGTTTCTAATTAATAAACAAAATTCAGTTTTTGAGTAACATAAAAAGTAACCAAAATATCAAAGCTAGGCAGAAAAAAATTAAATTGAACAACAAGTAACCAACTTTAGTTTCAAATGTAGAAAAGACTTATGTGTGTTGAAAGCCGCATCTCAGTAAAATGGGAAAACAATCGATTATGATTTACTTTCATTGTCAGTGTTCACAAAAGCGAAAAAAAAATCGATTATAATGGATGAAAAAAGGATTTTGTTGCCTCGAAAAATAGTAATATTATAATCCATTTTTAATTGTTTATCATCGATTTGTTTTCACTTTTGTGGACACTGACTAGAAAACCCGACTGTAATCGATTTTTTTTCCATGGAACTCCAATGCGGGACATATTGGAAATCGCAACCGATGGAAACGACTTGTTATTTAGACAGATTAAGACAGATTATGTGCAGTTTGAAAAATTGGATTATCTGTGAAATCAACAAGATTTAAGAAATTATGTGTTACTATCGTCAGAAAATCTTAGTATTTAAAATAAATGGATTATCTCAAGATAGTAAAAGCTCTAAGGAGTTATTCAAATCGACAGTTCACCCTAAATCATTTAAGCACCGTTAACAAATCAAAAAAGTTTATTGTCCCCCTCTCTGTAGATTTTTTGTAATGTAGATTATAAGTTGATGATAGGACGGTGATTGGTTAGAGCCAGAATACAAATGTGTAGCCTAAGAAATCTATTTCAATTCCATCCAATTCATTTTTCTACCTGAACAGACTTTTGCTGAAAAACGTCTTCGAAAAAATGTTCTTAACGCGCGCCAAGTAGTAGAAGATGAATAAAAGTAATCACAATTTATAGTATAGATTGATCAAAAATATTGAGTTTTTTGAAATTTCACCACAAATTCGTTTTAGCTCAGAGTTATTTTCTTTCCTCCCATCTCACCCAAAGATTTGTTTCTTAGTATATGAGTGGTCAACAAGGTCGGAGTAATCTTGTGATAGGCTAATTATTGTATCAAGTCAAAATGTCAATACAAGCAAAAAATTTTGAGATTAAAAGTCACAGAAGGAAAGGAAAGTAAAAAATACTTCTGTAGGGAGATTTTAAAAATAGTAAGCTTTTGAACAATTGTATGCAAAACCAAAATTTTTTAAGGTTTTATACACCGTTTTTAGTAAAATTTCTTAATGGATTCATAAAAGTACAGCTTGAAAAAATTAATTGTGTAAATAACCGAATGGTTTTTACAGCTAACTAACCCCAATAAAAAGATAGTTTGCAAAAAAATGTGAAAATTTGCCAATTCAAATGTTTACGCAAATAATATTCAAATCAGTGAATTTTCTACATGAATAAGGGAAAGCAAATCTTTCAAGAATCTTGCAAGATATGAGTTCAGGATTGGAAATACAAATCTTGTAACCTTCTTGCATGATTTTGCGAACTTTTGATCCTTTTGCAATAATCCTGCAAGATTTACATTGTAAGTAAACTAGGATATGCTCATTCATTGAATATAAAATATAGATTGCAAGAAGCACGTGTTAACCACAGTTTTCTACAGTATTCTATATGTATTGTGGTGTAGGAATGAATTGTTCTATATATTAAATTGTATGACAAGCATTTTTGGTCAACCAAAGTAAGAAAAGTTTTTTTGTAAGCATTTTTAGTGAACTTGGGTAAGAGGAGCAAATTATTTTGGATTCTTAAGCACCATATTTTGATGATGTATTTTTCTAGATTCAATCAAGGTACAATTTCGTCTGAATTTAGCTCAACTTATGGAAAACAAGTTTAACTTCTCCATAGTTGGAATACCAAATTGCTATTGCAAATACAACAGTCTGCTCACCTCATTTGGAAAAAAAATCAAGTTTTTTTAATTTCGTTTTTCCTTTTGTTCCGACTTTCGTACCGAAAGTAACGGAATATTTGTGCTCGGGGTAGATTTTATTTTCGTCAGACAAATTTCGCATTTTTAATTAGCCATATTTGTCAAAATTTTTTATATCATTCATAAAGTAGTGTTATATAATCTGCGATCTTTTTTTGTAAAGTTGTGGGGGTTCAAAAAGAGCCATTTTTTCCTAATTTGGGACTATTAATGCGCGATATATTTCGCACTATTAACGCGTAAGCGGAGATTTAATCCGTCTTAAAAATGGTTCCAAAGTAGTTAAAGGTTAAAGGAAGCTTATTTGCCGTAACTGATAGGATCGGGGCTTACTATCATTGATAGGAGGACGGTTTGCCATAGGAGCGGAGTCTATCACTTTGTACTTTTTATGGCGAGTGGGAGGATGATGTTCTCAATGATGTTCTCAAAAATCTCAATGAGAAAAAAATCCGTTTTGTGTTATTAGATTTTTGTTCATGTTATTACTGCTCCATAGACCTTCAAAGGCAGTGCGCACATTCAGGGCTTCGCCCTGATACGAGTGGTCTTGTTATTCTTGGGCATGTTTGTTTTCTTATCTGATTTTGATTGGTTTATGAAGTGTATACTTTATATTTAATCTACGTAACCGTATCTGAGAGTGAGTGGAAAGGGTTCTAACCGTGTTCAATGGCGGCTAATGAGAAGAAATTGAGACGGTGGAACTTGTATACGACCATAGAGAAGAAGTTTCCAGCATCCGAATCTATAGCTTTTCTTTCTCGTTTTGCTCTCGTAAACCAACTCATGAGGCAGAAATAGTTACTGCAAACAAAAAAAAGTTTTAGATTTGTATAACAATTTAAAATTATATATAAACATGACTTGTTTTTGAACCATTTTATAAAGTGGCAGCAAACTTAAATTTGTGCATATTAGAACAACTTTTATCGAGTAGTACAGATTATCTCTAGCAGCATTTGTTTTTTTTGTTATTTTTCACCAAATGTTATATACCTTCAATGTTGATAAAACCCTTTAAAATTTAAGAAACAAATCTAAACCTGATTTTTGAAAGGCTAAAATGATCGTTAGGATTGAACCACTATTTCCATTTTTCTGGAAAAATTACCTGTAAAGCAAGCATACTTCAGCAGTCTTGTCACCTTGGCCCGGAAGTTGGAACCAAGTAGAGGTGTAATCGTGACTGAATTTGGAATAGTCAACTCCCCCCTGATTATCGTCTTGTATGATTTTGGGTCTTTCTTTTTGAGAGGGAGACAGCTAGTAAACTCAATCATAAGAGTCAGTTAGGGTTAAAATGGTTAACCTAATGAAGTTTTATCGGAATTGTTTTGATTTTTTTTTCAGAAGATTTCGGTCAACAGAAACCCACGGGTAACTGGTCCTATTAACTAGCTACTCAAAAATCACCTTTGGTAAAAAATATCAAATACAATGTTACTGTATTCGCTCAAAAAGAGGCCGATTTCGCGGAAACCGCAAACAAATTTTCGGGACCCGGAACAGTGTGTGGAACCTACAAACGAACAATGATATATGTGCATAGTAAAATTGCGCTGTCGTGGAATCCGCAATTGCACGCGAAATCCGCAAATTGCAGACAGAATCTGCAAATTATAGGCAAAATCCGCAGAGTATAAGCGGAATCGGCATTTGATTTGCGGATTCCAGTGACATGAATAGTTACATCTTTAGTTACAAGAAAACTCATTTCTATTTAACTTTCTTTGTAATATTTTCAAGTTAGATAACATATAATATTTCCAAGTTCTCATCTCAAATACTGCCTCTGGCATTCACATAGTACAAATCACCTCATCTCAAATACTGCCCTCATGTTTTGAATTTATTCTCATCCCCTCATCTCAAATACTGCCCCCAACAGCTTGTTACGTAATTACACATACAACTACATTTTAAGGGAGTCATATATAAATAAATAAATAAATAAATAAATGTATGTATATATAAATAAATATATATATATATATATATATATATATATATATATATATATATATAGAAATATAAATTAGACACATAAACAAAATCTGCTGATCCCAAGTAAAGATTCTGCTTATTCAGTGATGAAAACCACACTTGACAAATAATGATTTTTCCGTATTCAGTGAAGTATTGTGATGTGTTACCCAACTTTAAATCTCAATTCAGCTAGCTGGAAATTTTTTTTCCAAACACTAGAAGATACATCCTCGACTTTATTTCACCAATGATTTAAGGTTTGTTTGTGGGTTCCACTGACAATGGTTAAGTCTTTGCTTTTTCTTTTCACTTACATTTGTGTAATCCGCTTGCATTTGCGGAACATAGTACACTCAGCTATATTCGCTTGTTGCGGACAAAAAAATGTGCCGACAAAAATTGCGTTACACGCATTTGTACGCGGAATCCTCGGAAATTTTGTAAGTGGAATTCACTTACCTTTTGAAACATGTTTAAGACTTGTGTCTGGATTCCAGTGAACTACAGACACCAAATTGTGAGTGCGCCTATCCATTGCACAGTTTGACCAAATAATGAAGAGTCATAGAAGAATATTTTGATGTAAAAATCAATGAACATTGAATTCTGATGCAAAAATTTGATTTAGAAAATCATGCCAATTTGCTGTTGTTTTTGTTTGCATTTGAGTGCTTCACATTTTCTGCTAGCATCTAGCAGATAAATAGCCAACACTAACATCGGGTAATACTGAAATGCATATCTTTGATAGCGAAAGACACAAGCGCATAATTAAATCAGATTTCAAATGTTTTTTTTTTAAACTAAGTTTCAGCTTTTTTTTATTCGGATACACAAGGTTCCTATTTCAAGAAACGATGTGCTCAGTTGATCAGAAGTGTTTTGCCGCTTATAATTTTTTCGTCAATGAGTTTTGAAGTTGGAAAGTGAAAACAAATCTAGATGTTTGCTCAATATTCATGTTTGAGAAAACTCGAGGAAATTCTTACAAGCCTAATGAACCTAATAAAGTTTCAAAACTATTTTGAAAAAAAAATTGACATATTTTTAAATTTTCCCAAAATTCAGCTTGGGTTGAAAGTTTTCACAAAATTTTGCAGAATTTTTTATTCTGTTTTTCAGAGCAAAAACAATCTTCAGTTTGAATTTCTGCTGTTTTGATGTTAGCGTTTTGTAACTTTTCCAATATTTTTCTTAAAATATAAAAAGTTCTCTTAAGAATAGGAACAGCACTATTGGTTTTTGTAATGAAATCAACCTTACACAAGCATCGGCTGACATACAATTTCCTCCGTCGACCTCGACCACCTTCTCGACTAAAAAGAAAAACAAACAAAATAACTCTTATTCGAGCAGGAATTTTGTGTAGTTACTTTTTCACTGTTTTTGTTCGACTTTTTTTGTTTTCCAAGCAAACTAACGTACCACAAGTAATTATTGTAGCGAGTCGAGCAATATGTCATGTGAAAGCCATTGCAGACGTTACTGGAACGATTTACAAAATTTTAAAAATTCTTGCCAGTGTCGAGAAAAAAGTGTTTGAAATTTAGTCTAAATCCGGGCAATTAAAATAAACAAAGAAGTAGGTCCTTTACAAAATTTAATTTAAGAAGTGAAAAACTCGATTTACTAGTTTTAATAGCTCGGTTAAAGGAAAACTAGTTTAACTAGCTTGATTTTATCACTTCATTGGAAAATAGAATTTTCTTAGGAAATTCAAACTTTTATTCTGCTGAGATTATAGACAAAGGTTTCAAGGTCTATAGTTTTCTCATCACAAAAATCGATTAATGGAAACTTTTTAAAACAATGTGATCAGTTAATCGCAAATCAATTGAATTTCTTTGTTTCAATTTGCTTGTTTTTTCTTATCTTTTAAGAATTTTTTCATTTAAAATTTGAAATAACTTTTTGAAAAGGTCAATAAAATCAACATGAACTCAAATTTTGCAAGAATTCAAAGGCATTTTTTTCTATCTGGGGGTAATTGCCTTTTCTATTGTAAGAATTTAGCTAAAAGTTTTAGATTTTCTCAATTGATGATGAATTGGTCGATGATGAATCAGTTTGTTTTTGACGCAATTTGATAAAACAAAATTAATCTGAGTGAATTTTTTTTATAGTTTTCGGCTCCCGCTATTTTAAAGTTGTGCAGTGTTTTTGGCTATATTCATAAAGATTCAATCAAAGTTACTTTATACAATTTTTTCAAACGGTTCATCTAGAGACTGAAATCATTGGATTACAATTTCTCCTCCTTACAAGAATAAATTAAGAGCCATTAGGTTTAGGAATAAAAACGCGTAAAGTCAGGATGATTTTATCTACTCCTAGTTTAATTTTTGTTTATTTAATTTAAAATAAACTTGAATATTTTTTCAATTCTTATAAATTTCTTCTTCTAATACAATGGTTTCTACTCATTATCTATGCCCAACAAAAACTGTTTTTTGAATAATTTCACCTGCCGACTATATAGTAATACTTTCTTCTCCTACAAAACTTACAAGGCTTTAAAATTGAGTACAAGGCTTTTTCTGCCTACTTTTTACAATTTTTTCGAAATATTTGCACATTCATGGAACACCAAAGCAAACTTTTCAGGATTCTCTCTTAAGCGGTTTTTACCCCAAAATTCATAAAATAATTTTTTTAAACTTCTCGTGAACAATCTGGTCGAAATTTTTTTCAAAGCATTTTTTGTCTATTCATTTGTAGCTGGACAGAGAGGTGTTTGAGCAGCCAAAAAACCTTTTTAACAGCCATATGAGATTTTAAAACTTCAACTGAAAAACTAGGGAAAAAACTCAGCTAGGCCGTCGCTTAAGTTTTTTGAAGGTGAAGATTAAATAATGCAAAAATTGTGAGCTTGTGGACAAGATTTATATGACACGTCATAAATTTTTACATTCAACGAAATTTATTTTGGGCCTTTGCCGCTGGTTCTTTATTCAATTTTTTCCCTTGATGTGCAAGAGTTATATGAGGGCCTTGCTAAAATTCTAAGTTCTCAAACTACCCTTTTACAGTTACAAAAGTTCTACTTCTTCGTGCCGTTTTTGAAATTTTCCCGACAACCAGAACACTCTCCGGCAAATTTTGAGCGAATGAACAAAAAATAAAAATTTTTGTCCGGCTAGAAATTTCAAAATCGTTTCCTTTTTGCAGCGGCAGGTCAATGAGCAGAATGATTTAAAAGCGGAAAGAATTGCCAGCATGGACTTATACGGCCTAATGGATGAAAAATTTATTAGGAACATCAATTCTACCAAGCAAATGAAAAAAATATTCATTAATTGAGTAATATCATCAATTTTATGAACTGATCATCATCACTCAATTAATTCTCGATCAAATCACCCATATTTAATCATAAACTATTTGGGTTTTGGTAATATTGATATTTATAAAACTTGTAGATAATCTGATTGTAGATAACATCTGATATTTAAAAAAATCTTAAAATATCTACGTATGTTTTTTCTTTAAATCTACATTTTTTTATAGAAAAGTAATTATTACAAAAAGAACAAAATGTTGCTCATTTCGTATACGCTAATAGTTTTTGGTGGCTCAACCGGAAAAAACTCGAGCTCCGTTATCTAGAATGTTTTCATGCAACTTTAAGCATTTGGTTATACTGAGTGTTCAAGAGTTCGCTCCTTGCTTTGTGAATCTGTGTCCGATTTTTGGAATAAAAAACGTTTTTTTTTTATTTCACAATTAATTAGATTAAGACTTTGGAAATATTAGGTTAACTTAACTTTGGAATAGGTTTTATCCAACATGAATAATCGAAATATACGTACCTGAAAACAATATAACAGCAAAGTTAGCCAGGTACAAAAAGTTCAGAATATTCATTTTATATTTCAATTGGGTAAATATATTAACCGAAAGTCTAAAAGGTTTCAGAATTAAATTAAGTATGTTTAAATGGCAATTTATTTCTTCACAAACACCTTGACATTTGAGGGTAAATGTTTTGAACAATGGAGTTTGGACAGAAGTTCATTATGTTAAAGCTTACAAACATATTCTTTTTAATGACAAAAACTGTTTCTTGGTTTTTTTTTCAGGGTATTCCTTGAATTGTGAAAAAATTTTAAACTGAAATCAAGCATTATATGATACTTTGGTCCGGATGGAGAAAATGATAAAAGCCTTCGTAGCAAAAGCCGATGAACAAAAACTTTGGCAATCAAACAAAAATAGCTCGAAGTAGTTTTTTAGCCTTGCTTTGCATTTCATCTACTCAGCAATTTAGGGTAACAGCAGGGCGGATTTAGGGGGGGTATGGCGGACGCCCTTCCCCAACCCCCTCAGGGAATCGACACCCTGTAGCCTCAAAGGGTCCCCCTTTGAACTATTTTGAGATATCCATTTTTGGTGACAAATCCTAAAAGATTTCTAAAGACGCCTGTGGCGCCAAAGGTAAAATTTTTGAGGAGGGGGGGGGGGGGGGGAGCACCAGCCAAAAAAGCGCAATTTTTCGGTCAAATAATTCCAGAAAAAGCCTAAAAACGCTTTTTTTCAAAGCTTTACCTGCGGCGCAGAAAATCTGGCCAAAAACGAGAACAGAATCTTTTTAGTGCTTTGGGAGAGCTCGGAAAATCAAAATGGTCGAAATAAAAAACGGTCGACAAAATTTTTGAAAATCCCCCTTCCTCCTCGAGAAAATCCTAGGTCCACCTCTGGACAAATATGATTTAATTTTGCGGGACTGGATCCTTGATCCCTAAGGTTATCACCCTTGGCCCAGCGTAACACCAGGTAAATAATTTGTTTTCTTCTCATCTTCAAACATACCCTGTGATCTTTTATATCCTTCACTGAGACCTGCACATTTTTAAAAAACTATTTTTTCTAAATGGTAAAGAGCTGTGACTAGGCAATGACTTATGCATAGCCTAAGAGCAAAACGTAGCGCACTCGACAGTGGCTGAGTGTTCGTTTTTTGCACAATTCTTCTTAAATATTGCTTACTTTTAAAATTTTTAAAAAATCAGCTGTGTTAACTCCAACTTCACATCTGATCAAAAATCAAGTGGCACCACTTCTTCCCTGCATCAGTGCAACTCTGGGATCGCTTTAGTGTGTAAAATTTTGGCTTATCATGTACTAAGTGTTTTTGGTTTTATCATACGGATTACTGCTCGAACAGCTGATTGCACGCGTTTTAAAGAAATTTATAGCTATAAAAACTCAAACTTTTGGACGGATCAAAATATAACCCGGGGAGTGTTCACATTTGAAGCACAACATAAGATGGGAGACAAGGAAGTGTTGAAATAGAAACACAGAGTAATGTATAGAAGGTGAATTTTGGTAAAGATCAACTGTACGTTATAGAAATGTAAGACAAACTGCACTTGTTATTTCAGGTATGTCTAGAGCATAGAAGGAACAGTGATTAGAAGAGAGGTCGGTGGCCAGACATTCAAGGACTTCACCAAAATTTTACATAAACTTGAACTGTATAACTTCTACCCCTATGTCATAGATTCACCCACAAAATTTGAACAATCTGTTTAAGCTTTCCAGAACCTAAAAAGCATTCATTAGCTCGCTGTACAATGTATATCTTGGACAATTTACTTTTTCTTTTGAGTTTTGTAGGCTTTAATCAGCCTCCCCTCTCTCTCTCTCTGGTTTGGTCTCTTACTTTCTATTTGGTTTCCTGATTTTGTTGGTTCTGTCTGATCCTTACACACCCAAACTTTA